TTATGAAAGAGGGGAAGAGAAAAAGTGCCATGATGAGAGGAAGAAGAAGAGAGAGGGGAGAGTGAGGAAGATGAAAATGAAGGAGACTGGAGGACGAGGCGAAGAAGAGTTCAGGTTAAGAATGGGAGTAGGGAGAAACAGGGGTGGAGAAAGAGAGGAGGCTGAGAGTAAAAAAAGAAGAAATAAGTGAGAGTGAAGGAGATGAGAAGGGGAGGAGAAACCGAAGGAAAACAAGGGTAGATGATAGAGAAGAAAAGGAGGATTAAAAGAAACAAGAAAGGGAAGAATAGTGAAGAGAAAGGAAAGAGAGTGTGTTGAAGAAGAAGAGGAGGAGGAGGAGGAGAGGGGCTTTATGAAGAGAAGGGATTAGGAGGGGAAGAAAGGAGAAAAATTTAAGAAGGAGAAAGATTAGAGGGTAAAAGAAAGAGAAAAAATGAGTGGGAGTGAAGGAGACGTAATGGAGAGGAGAAACCCAAGGAAAATTAGTGTAGGTGGAAGAAAAGAGGAGGATTAAAAGAAGAAGAAAGAGAAGAAGAAAAGGAAGTGTGCTGAAGAAGAAGAAAGAAAGAAAGTAAGAAAGAAAGAAAGAAAGAAAGAAAGAAACGTGTGAGCAGAAGAAAAAGAAAGAGAAAGGAGTGGAACAAGAAGGAAAAGAAAGAAATGTATGAGTAAGAAGAAGAAGAAGAAAAGAAGGAGGAGAAAGAGAGGGGATAGTGAGGAAGATGAAGAGAGGGGATTAGGAGGAGAAGTAGGGAGAAGATTAAATAAAGAAGGAGAAAGATTAGAGGACAAAATAAAAAATAAGTGGGATTGAAGGAGATGTGAGGGAGAGGAGAAACCCAAATTAGTGTAGGTGGAAGAGAAGAGGAGGCTTAAAAGAAGAAGAAAGAGAAGAAGAAAAGGGTGCGTGTTAAAGAAGAAGAAGAAGAAAGAAAGAAAGAAAGAAAGAAAGAAAGAAAGAAAGAAAGAAAGAAACATGAGCAGAAGAAAGAAAGAAGAGTAAGGAGAAAGAAAAGAAAGAAAAGTATGAGTAGGAGGAAGAAGAAAGAGGAAGAATAAGAAGGAAATGAAGGAAAAGTATGAGTAGGAGGAAGAAAAAGAAAAAGAACAAAAAAAGAAGAATAGTATGAATAGGAGGAAGAAGAAAGGGGAAGAAAAAGAAGGAGGAAGTAGGAGAAAAGGGAGGGGGTGGAAAAATGCATATGAGAAAATAAGACAAAATCGACCATTAAGGACAGCGCCGAAGAAAATAATAAGATAATTCGATTTAGAATAAGAGGAAATAGTTAAAGCATTTGCTCCAAGATGAACTAAACCTCGTGATACCAGAAATGCTATAGAAAAGGGGAAAAATTAAAAAAAAAAAAAAAAAACAGCAGAAAAATAATTATAATGATAACGGTCAAAACAAATATACTTTCCCCGCCACAGAAAAAAAAAATGAAGTAACATAAAAAAAAAGACCCGAAACTTTTCTAATATATTCTCCCACAAAGAACATCATCACTTGGCTTCAGGCCTTGTCAATTAAGGATATGTGAAAACTCTTTAGTAAAGTCTGCACAGAGCCACTGGGCTTGATGGCCTTCCTCCATTAATATCTGTGTATTTTCGGAGAGCGTGTGGGCGGAGACTTTCTTTTGTTTCTCTTTGTACGCGTCTTTACTTCCGTAGTTTCTCCCTTGTAGATGTTGAAAGCGAGTAGCACCCGCTGCCGGCCATCTCCGTCATCAAGCGATAAAATGATCAGATAAACTCCAAGATGATAATATAGTGCAAGAGCTTTAGTTTCTGTTCTTTTTTGATTATTTGCTCGGTTTTGTGTTTTATTCCATTGTCTTTGGTTTAATTAAGCGGAAAGGAAATTACTTGGTGAGTTTTAGATAAGCATCGTACAGACCCATTGATGAGGAAATATACTTTACAGGCAGGCAGGCAGAACAAGCTCAAAGGGACTGGGAGTATAGCCGAGGCAGGCCGACAGACAGACAGACAGCGAGATAGAAGCACACAGGCGCATTGACAAGGAAATAAACTTTACAGCCAGACGGATTTAGCACTTTCAAAGATACTCAAATTTATATATTAGACAGCTGGATAGATAAAGATGAACAGAACGAGATAAGGAGATCGATATTTAGATCGATAGATAGATAGGACTATATGAATATATATATATATATATATATATATATATATATATATATATATATATATATATATATATATAAATAAAAAAAGAAAGAACAGTAAGATATAAAATCCGGTGTTCTTATATTCGCTTGAAGATGAAATGGAACTAATGTTTTTAATTTAATTGCAAAAATAAAATTAGGGTTTTTAGCTTCTATTTTTTGAAACATGGTTGGAACTGTGTAGCGAAAATAACCATATTTTAAATCAATTAATAATATATATATATATATATATATATATATATATATATATATATATATATATATATATATATATAGTGTATAGTGTGTGTGTGTATGTGTGTGTTGGATATTTTCTAAATGATCTCTTTAATTTGAAATGAAAACCCATCTTCCTGTTGTGACCTTATTGTGTTTTCATCTCTCCTATTCCCTCTTTTTTAAAACTCATTCGCCATTCTCTTGATGGATCTTGAATTGAATTTGAAGATGGAAGCCAGAGTATAAATGTTGGTACCATTACTGAAGGTGTGAATGATCTGTTTTCTATCACCATTGCAGACTTGGGGAGACAGTAGGGGTGACATGGAATGATTTTAACCTGTTTGAAGAACTCAAATGGTTTCTCAGTGATTGTTACGACAATTGGTATCAAGGTGGCTAAATGTCCCTGAGAACTTCCAAAAAAGAAATTCAGTTAGTTTAGTGGCTTTAGATATTAAGCATTTTGTAGAATGAATAATTATGCTGCTTCACGATTTGGATAATGTTGCTGTTACGACAGATAGATAGATAGATAGTTAGATAGATAGTTAGATAGATAGATAGATAGATATTATGATTAGATAGACATTCAAACTCTCTCGTATTACACCTCAACGACATGGGACATAACATTAATTTCACCAATGCCAGCCTTATTAAAAAAAACGAAACCCTTTAAAGAGAAAATATTATGACAACATATAGCAATAATGCCAACTATCAACACATCTTTAAAAACTGCATTACTTCATTATATTTCCACAAAGCCATTATTCATAAATCTAACATAAAATCAATGAAGATATATACAAAATAAGCACGAGATATGCATAAATGAAAAATCGAGCAAAAATAAATTTTTTCAAAATATCCTGCAGCGTCTCATTAACTTTTACACAGTTTGGCACCCAGAATGTTTTCTTACACATATTTGAATATTATCTGTTACTTCATTACGTGTGACACGTATCTAATCAAAACATCCTACTGCAACTTACTAACTTTTACGGACTTTAGTGACAAGAATGTTTGTTACACATATTTGAATATTAACTCTTACTTTCATTACACGTAACACGTTTCTAACTAATAAGAAATCGCCAAACACAACATACCATTAATCTGCGTCTCTTTGATTTTATCATTTTTATCATTTCTATCTTGATATCTGAATAAGAATTAATAAAATGAAACATATTAGATTAAGATCTGTTTCCTACTTGTTCTTTATGCTATGTTGGGACTCAGATAGATAGATAGATAGATAGATAGATAGATAGATAGATAGATAGATAGATAGAACAAGAGATAGATAGATAGATAGATAGATAGATAGATAGATAGATATGGGCAGGATGAAATAGATAACAACAGAATAATATTTATTTAAACAGAGAGATAGAGAGTGATGGATAGATATGAACAGACTTCTTTTTCTGTAGCGTGGAATTCACTATTTCAGCCTCTTCCCTGTCATCCTTACGAAACAGGCATATAGTCGCCATTTGTAAGAATATAATACTCCATAATGTATCTAACAAAATTTTGTCTATCACACTGACAATTTTTGAGACTTTCGAAAATATTTGAACAATAAAATCTTCAAATCTCATTTTCATCTGTGAGGAAATTGTCCGGCCTTCACTGCCATAGAGGAGGACTAATACTAATACTACAAAACAAGTGCGTACTCTTTTCCTTGTTTCTATTGCTTCAAGTCTCATCTTCATCTGTGAGGAAATTATTCAGCCTTCACAGCCATTTAGGAGGACTAGTAACACAAAACAATTGCATATTCTTTTCTTAGTTTCTATTGCTACAAGTCACTTCTTCACCTGTAAGGAGATTGTTCTTCATTCACTGCCATATAGCAGGACTGACAAGTGAGTACTCTTTTCTTTGCCTTACTAACTTTTACACACTTTAGTATCGAGAATGTTTGCAACACATGCATAGAACCTGATTTTAGCTACAGAGAAGAGTGTGGTTTGTCCCTTTTACTACTTTTAAACTACAATCTTCTATGATTTGCCTCTAACGTAAACACATTAAGAAATGGACAAAGTCCGACAATTATTTTGATATATATTGTTTTTATACGTTATTGTTATAGACACAAATATTTAAGTAAAATGTATTAAAATAATTGACCATTTCGTAGTGTGTGACGTCATTTGTTTACGTTTAGCTTTGTACTGTTAAATTTATATTACTGACCCGATCTCGTTCCACACCGGGTTTGATAAGACAGACGACCGATATCTTCGTCTGCCGAAATAGTCTATTCCCCATATAAGTTTATTTGGATGTTGTACTCGACATTCTCCCGTCAAACTCATACGTCGAATTCGATGGGAGAGAGTCGAGTACACACACACACACATATATATATATGTGTACATATATATGTGTGTGTGTATATATATATATATATATATATATATATATATATATATGTGTGTGTGTGTGTGTGTGTGTGTGTGTGTGTGTTTGAGGATCAACAGGTCAGTTCCCAGGAAGCCGACAGCCCGACAACAGCACATGTGATTTGATTAAAATTAAAACATAATAAAAGTTTAAATTAAAATAAAAGAAATTCAATTAAAATAAAATTAAATAAAAATAAATTAAAACAAAATACAATTCAAAATAAAATGGTTAAAATAAAAATAAAAAGTAAGTTAAATTAAAATTAAATTAAATTAAACATAAAATAAATCTAAAATAAAAACAAATAAAATAAAAAATAAAATAAAATTCATTTAAATTAAAATAAAATTAAAAATTTTACACAGCAATACAGTACACTTTCTTTTATTCTAACGAAATTTTCCTGTTTCTTAATACTTTGCTTATTTTCTAGAAAGCATCTTTCTCTATTCTAATGTAAAATATCGATATCACGCAAACAATTCAGTACTCTTTTCTTTGGTTTTAACGAAATTTTCCTGTTTCTTAATACTTGACTTTACTTTGGAATTGGTCTTTCACTATTCGATAGCTTGATTGCATTTCTTTTTAAAATAGTTCTAAGACATCTAAATTTTTGCATTTGCTTAATTTTGGCATCCCCAATTTGTAATTCGCATGTGTCTCTTTTTCTGACAACCATACATTCTGTCTTCTTTAAATCAATAGCTAGGCCTTTCTTCTTGCTTTCTTTTTCGCTTACCTCATTATGTGTTCTATAAATATCAACTGTCTTTGTTTTTTCCATTCTAAGTATGAGTGATTTTTTGATTTCCATTTTCCATAGACCTTCTTCGTCGATCACATGCTCCGTCAAGTGCATTCTCTAAATCTTTTTTATAAAAGCGTTGCTTCAAGTTTTCTCTGCTATGAGAAAATCATCTAGTCATATAAAAGGATCGATATTACAGTTGCTCTCTTTTGGTTTCCATAGAAGTGTTCTTAGACTTCCTCAAATGAATATCACGATCAAGATTTCGTCGAAAACTTTTAACATCAAAATCGGTGGAATTCTCATATGGGTTTGAAAAATTTCCGTTTTGGGGAACCAATTAAATAGGAATCATTTTCACATTAATCTTCAACAATGTTCAAGCGTTTCTCTCTGATTCTCTATTTGGTCTTCTATTCTTAAAACTTCCTAATTGCTCTCATGCTACCTAGTCCTGGGTATGACGATAAACTACATCTGGCAGCAAGGCCTCTAATCGTTTGTTTGAAGTTTTTGAGGAGCTTGAAAACAACTCTTAATTGTTGATGTACCAAGATCCACCCTGACCAGTGGGGTAACATTTGTTAGAGATCAAATACTGAACCCTCCAAACAAAAACAAAGCACAATGAAAGTATAAAAAATATAATTTTCTATTAAAATTACCAACAGTATCTATTTGTAACAAAATCGCCTAGAATACATTTTATAGTGGAATTACCAGCAATACATTTTATAGTGGAATGAACAGCAACATATTTTATCTTTATTTGAAGCCATAAAGTTTTGTTCAAAATATTTAGATTTAGGTATTAAATAACTCCTAGAGATGTTGATAGGCCAATAAAACAAAATCAACCCACCAACATGAAATAACTATTTCAGCATATTAACAAAAGTACTGTGTTCCAAAATATAACTTCAACAAACTACAACATAAAACACACATTTCACTGTTTAAAGTGATTATGTCCACACAAACATGTATATGCAGAAAATCTGAGCATCAGCTACCATGTATTCAATTGTGAAAGCAGAATAACATAAAAAATATATTTATTACTTTCAAGCTTCCAAAAAAATTTAAATTTTGGAATTAAACGACACACAAGTGGATGAGGTGCCGTTAAACAAACAAATCAATCTCATGTTCTGCCTATAGAATCTACACCTCTTCTTCTTTTCTATGCGCCATGTCCCTTTAGGTTGTGGGCGACCATGGCTCTCCACAATTTCCTGCCATTAGTGCCTCTTTCAACCACCTGATGAACATTCATAAATTTACAAGCCTGTGTGTATATATAAACGGGCAACATAATAAATCCTGCATTGCCTTGATAAAGCACTTTTTTTTTACTCTTTGGATATATATATATATATATATATATATATATAGTAAATCGTCGAGCCTAGAATAATCCTAAACAGAACGCAGAAAGCACTGGACGGCCGTTTTGTCCTATATTCAGGACTCATCAGCAGTGCGCATCCACTACCTAGAATGGAACTCGAACCGTTTCTATACAAGGCAAACGTCATACCAACTGCACCATGGGACTCGCTTACGAGGAAGACACAGCTACACTCATCGAAGTATTCAGATATCTTCGGAACAGTACCCCAAGTACCACGACTGCTTTTTGACCCTTAGCCGCTCCATTGCAGAGCATTAGCTAGCGCTAGCAAGGATTTACAAATGATTGTTTTAGGGATTTAGGGTAATCATATATGTTATGGAACCTTACCCATAATAACATAATGAACTATTCCATGCGTAATAAATACTGCGCCTCAAGATGAAGCAGGGAGTTCAGTTCGAAGTCGGGCGGGGAGTAACCCGAACGAGGCTACGCCAAAGGGCGGAGTCTCTTTCGGGGAGGTAAACCGACCCTGAACCCGTTTTTACGGGTTCAAATGACATATTTTTGGCCGAGCCCACGGGCTCGGAGATCCCACGTTAAACCGGCCTTGTGCCACATGATGCCCTCGTGGGGGCCAGGAGACTAAATATTGTTCAGTCTGAAGACTGGAGTGAAATCCGCCAGGAGTCTGTCAGTCAGTCAGAGCGAGCAAGTCAGTCAGTCGAGTCAGAGGCAGTCCGAAACAGAGTCGCGTTCAGACAATTACTACTAAACCTGATTGTTCGTACTAACACTTTCTACTTCTCTGTATATATTCCTGTTTGTAATATATCTGTGTTATTCCATATCCGTGTTCGAGTTCTTCTTAATTGGTTCTACCTTGGACTATCACCGTGGTACAAGGAACCGGACCATAACAATATAATAATTCGTCGAGCCTAGAATAAATCTCAAAAGAATGCAGAAAGCACTGGACGACTGTTTCGTTCTATCTGGGACTCATCAGCAATACGCATCCACTAGCGAGAATCGAACCAGGACCGTTTCGATACAACGGAAATATATATATATATATATATATATATATATATATATATATATATATGTGGCACCTTGCATTATTAGAAATATTCATAGAAATATGATTTAAATTTTTTTACTCGGTTATTTGAAATGAAACGTCATTTAGAGAGAGAAAAGGACCAGGCTTGATGACAGCGTATTGGTGTTTGATAAGAATGTCGGTCAAAGCATCTGGCCTACTTTTGCGTAGAAAGACTCATTATCAATTTGGAGAAAGGGAAATTTTTTTTTAGAACAATAGAAACGAAATTTTTTAATCGGAGAAAAAGTGTCTTTTGGGCTGAGGGGGTGACCGGTGGAACTGTATACAGATTCTGACCTGTTAAGAATTGGAAACCCACGATAATAAAGTGGAGACATTTTCAATGTAGATAATTAAGATTTTTGACTATCAGGTCTGACCGATAAAAAACAAAGAGGTGAAGAAGGCGGATGTCTCGGCTCACAGATAGCGCCAATATTCTTTCCTGAAGTCACATCTAATTAACGGCAGGCTGTTTTGACAGAACCCAGGTGAGAAAAAAAGCCAAGATTATCATTTTCGTACGTGCGAAAAAGGCAAATTAGATTTTGTTTTTTAGAACAAGAACGATGTAAACCACGCCCGAAAAGAGGAGAAAGAATGCTCGATCAAGAACCATTGGTCGAAAACGGTCACGTGATCTGCGGAAAAGAGGAGAAAGAATGCTCGATCAAGAACCATTGGTCGAAAACGGTCACGTGGCATGCGGGAGAGATGGTGTGCGCCTCCCCACCAAAGGCACTGTGAGGAAGTAGGGGTGAAAATAATAGCGATAATGGGAAGACAGAAATAATGCGGCTATTGGAATTATCGAAACCCCTGACGCCGACAAACCCACCCCGTTTTGT